TCATCCTCCGAATTGAGGATCTCGGTCGCTACAGAATTCCCCGGCAATTCCCAGGAGTTGGGTTGCGTGGCTTTTGCTGCCGCGGCCGCCGCTCCACTTCCTGTCAAAATGTCTAATGCGATGGAGGACCCGGCTCCCAACAAGTCTCCTTTGCTTGCCTGATCTGCTACCGCCGAAGGCACACGTGTCTCCTCCTTCCGTTCTTCGTCCGTCGCCGATCCCTCACATTGGGCCTGCGCCGAAGCCGCTTGACCCGAAGTCCGTTAAGCCGAAGGCTCCTCCTCATTCCTCTACTGCGCCGAAGGCACTTGACGCGAAGTCGAGTCATCCACTAGTATTTGCTCGGGAGCGAAGCACCTGTCCGTCGTCGGCACATTCGTCAGTGCCGCATGTTGTCTTCCTTGACCCGAAGGCCTTCTTGCTTCCGCCGAAGGCGTCTGTGCCTTCGGTGCAGGGAGGTCCGCTGGCCTTTCCGAAGTTCGTGCACTCGCATCCTCCCCCGAGGATGGCGAGTTTTTCCTCTCTGCAGCTCTTCCCGTTTCTGCGCCGCTTGCCGGTAAGACGAGTCTGCAAGCCTTCTGCTTGGGACGACTGCAGAGCTCCTGCATCGGCCGCTTTCGATTGGGAGCAGCAGCATCGCGTTGCTGGCTCTGCTCCGCCTCTCCTTCCCACTTCCGCTTCCGCGGCACTCGTGTTGCGAGCGGTTCTTCCTCCGCCCTCGGTTGAGCTGGTGGCTTGTAGGCAGGCGTCTCGTCTTGGTCAGTATCGACTTCGACGTCCTTCACATATCGGCCCGGATTGCTGCGTGACAGCAATGGAAATTGTACCCGCTCCGACGCGGTCAAACATCTCATCGACCAATAGAAATTGATCAAGAAGGGGGAGAGGTGATTGATCGATCCTCTCTTCTCCTCGAATGCGTGTTGTCTCGTTGCCTTCCACAGAATGCGAGCCCAATGAAGCGGAGCTCCGAACAACGCCAACTCCACGAATCCCACCTGCCAAGAAGTTATGTAGGTGGTCCGGTGCGGCTGCAAGAGTTGAATGAGTGCTACCGCGACATTCCTCCACAAACGATCCTTGTAATCACGGGTCTTGTATCCGTTCTTGCTCAATTTGCTATGCTTGAACAGCGCTCCGAAGGAAGCTTCTTCCTCCTTCGAGACATTGACACTCTCGCAATCGAAAAGAAGATGGCCTTCTTCTCCCGCGCATCTTCCTAACACCTGCTCCCAGTCACTGACTTCTCATCGCTCCGGGTGCGGTCGGAATCCGCGCGTAGGTTGATCCTTGTCCCGCAGCCACTCTCGTATCATATCCGAACACACCCAATTCCATCCCCACAGGAGGAAATTGAGTTTCACCGCAGTCAGCTTGCGCTGGAATGCACGCAACCCAATCTGCGGTAGCTTCAGCGGAATCATCTGCAGCTACGTAGCCTTCAACATCGCGTTCTTGAACTCTTCCGCGCACGTCAGAAGTCTGCGAACTCTCCGCTCTCTATCCCCAAGCTTCTTGCACGCGGACTCAATCATCCCGCAAGCTTCCCGCACTTTCTAGCTGATGCACGCTCGCTCGTCGCAACTCTCTCTAATTTCTCTCCGCAGATTCACTGCTGCGCACTTAACGCTCGAGCGAAATCAAAATTGAAATTGCAAGAATGAGACGTCCGCCTTCAACGATCAAGATTTCACCGTTCGACACTTGGGAGTGGGGATTGACCCACTTGATTGCAGCGCCGGCTTGAAGGCGTAACGGCCTCCTTCACACGCTCGGCCTCACCCTCCGCCGTTGTGCGAACTCCCACGCCTGAAAATTGAATTCGATTCTGCCGTTGTCCGTCGACTTAGCCTTGCCCGCGCATTGCCGAAGGCGTTGACCGAAGTTAATGCGGCTTGTCGTTTCCGATGTTCTTTCTTGTCCTGTCGAAGGCGCTTTTGCCGCAGGTGCTCCGTTCCGCCGAAGGCGTACGGCCGAAGTCACACCGCCGAAGGCGTTGCCCCGAAGGCGTTCTTCCGCCGAAGGCGCCCCATATCAGTAACTTCCGAAACTCATAACTCAATGATCCCTCATCCGTTCTAAGAGTTCTTGGGCTAGTTAGAACGAGCGTGTTAAGCTTTTTCCAACAAAACCCTAACCAAGTCAAGGCGTTACGAATTGAGAAAGTCATGAGGGATTTACTCTATCGTCGAAGGCTTCTATACCCGAAGTCGTATCGCCAAAGTCGTATGACTAGCGACGACTTCGCTTTCCCTTAATCGAAGGCGCAAATGTTCCAGGCCTCGTACGTCTTCAGCGAAAGCTCTTCTGCAGGGGCTTGAGCCAAAGAGCTTTCTCCTGCTTGCGCCGAAGGCGCTTCGCCGAAGACCCCTTAACAAGAAAGCTTTTGCCGAAGGCGCCTGAGGCGCTCCCCCTCGTTAGGAACCGTCCGTTCGGGCCAGGGCGCCTGTCCCAGACATTGCGCCTCGACGGTCTGGGAGTTCACGGGAATCCTGGAGGATTCCCCATGACCCGTGATCATCCATTTTTACTCTATTTTAGTGTACCGATTACTATTTACAGTTGCTAATGCGATACTGTTTTCCAAAAATGTTTAAATTCCGCACAAAAACAAAAAATGGGTTACCACACATAGTATAGTGTACAATAGATATTTTAATTTTTCTATATAAATGAATTTAAAAATTTACAAAATTTTTAAACATTTAATATATCAAATGTAAAATATACAATATTTGTATTCACATAGTCGTATATGTAGAAGTAAATACTATACATGTTGCATGACATTTAGTATACATAGTTTAAATTTGATATTTGATAATCTTATTGTTATAATGTGAACACAAAGTTTTTGGTGAAAAAATAAATGTCATAGAAGTTGAGTCTTCATATGTTAGTTGGAATTATATATTTTTTTGGTTGACAAATTCACTTTTATCAATATTGAACATTTTTTGAATTAAAATGTGTTAGGGTTATCCACCATGTCTTTCATCCACTAGGATTGGAATTGATGGTGGGGATAAGATCTTATCTAATTGTACTTGTTTTGAAGAGATATATAAGATAAATGAGAACCATTGTTGGGTTTTCTCATCTTCAGAGTTTATGTTTTCATCTTCGGGTGAACTTCTCTCTAAACCCTACTGTTACAATGGTATCAAAGCAACTTTGCTCTTTCCTTGAGTGTGGATTACCCCTCATGGAATAGCAAGTAATTGATGATGACATGTAGTTTTGAGAGTGTATAGAGGCTGGTAGAGATCATTGATCTGCATGAGAGAGAGGAGAAAAGGGAGAAATTGTGGTTTGGTAGATATGGACGAGCTTGACAAGAATCCAGACCTGCATTGGCCAAATCCTAACCTATTCAATATTCACTTTTGTTGGATGGTGATACATCATTTTTGGATGTACCTTGTGGCTTGTTGGGGTGCAAATTTTATGACTAGGATGATGGAGTCAAGAGTGCCACATATTTTTTCAATAGTTAGCTATGAAGAGACTTGGGATTGTACCATATACATTATATACTAAGTGTTTCATGGATTTGAATAACGAACCACCCTTTCCATTTTGGTTCAACACTTATGTAGAGATTAGAATAGTATACCAACGGAAGAGATTGTGGAGAGATTTTCTTGTGAGGAATTATGAGGAAGAGTACTATAGAGCTATGATAGAATAACCTGTACCTATTGTGGCTTTTTTTTTAGAAGTTAGATAGTTATTATACTCACTTTGTATTAGATTGAATGTGAGAAAGCATGGGGACATCAATCAATATGGGAGAGATTCTCAATGCAATCATGGAGATGAAGGAGTTGATAAAAGCAATAATAAATGGACATACGAAGCAGCAAGCCATGGAAGATAAAATCTTTGCATTATAGAGTGAGAAAGTAGAGATAGTAAAGAAACAAAGAGTTGGAGAGATGAAAGTTGAACCTCAAGTTCAAGCTTCCCACATTCAGCCAGAACCAACTACTACTGATGTATTAGAGTCAAATAGGAAAAATTTTCAAGAGATTGAAGATCAAGCAAATCTTTTGCTTTGAATGGAATCTTATAAGGTGGAAGCTTACAAAGGGAGTAGAGCGATGAAAATGTTAGAGATATGAATAATGAGGATGAATATTCATTTATCACATTTTCATGATTCTGATTACATTGGAGGAATGAGATTCTATATTACGGATAAGGTTCTAACATGGTACACAACATGGGAGAGAATGCTTTCAAAACAAGGTGCTACCTTTTCTGCAGTGGAATGAAGGAATGAATTTTGCAAAATTTTCAAGCAATGGATTCTCTTTAAACTGCAAGGATGAAGTTGTGGAATTTGAAGCAGAAAGGAGGTATACATGAATACATTGAAGAATTTTGTGATCTTCAAGTATATATTATGGATATGAGTGGAGCAGAAGCCTTAGACGTGTTCAAACAAGGCTTGAAGAATCAAATTTGAAAGGAATTGATGGTAAACAATCCATCCACAATGAATGAAGCAATCGCAATTGCTCAACAAATCTTTGGTGCTTTTAGTGTCACACACGGTGAACTAGTAAGCAATTTTTGAGATTCATATGGGCCAACAGCAATGAAATTGGGAAATCTTTGACGTAGAGAAGGTTTTGCACCAACAAGAGTACCACTGCCAAGATTTGAAGATGAAATTCGGTGATCAAAAGTTCCAAATTTGCAAGAAAGTTATGCAAATAACGAATGCGTTCAAGGAGAAGGTGAAGTTCGTGACAATTGTCAATGCTATGCATGTGGACAAATGGGTCACATTGCCAAGTTTTGTCGAATTCGACCGGCACCATAAGAAGTACAGTCTCTACAGCGACGACCGTTCAACAACATGGAGGGGATAGAACTGGCCACCTTAAAGGTGGTAAATCCACTTTAGCCACTTTTAGCTTAAAAGTGGTAACTGGTAGAAATTTAAAAGTGGTAATTACCACTTTTAAACATTTTATTACCTAAATCAGTGCCTATAAGCCTATTTGCGTTAAAAGTGCAAATTGCTTGGACTGGAGAACACCTTCCAAGGACAGATCGGTCATAGATTTGCGGTATTCGTCTTTCTACCATCAGAGGATGGAGAAGTCAGACTCCACAGATGCCGTATTCAGAAATAGTATCGCGATACCTCCGCCCAATCACGCAAGGCTTCGAACCGCTGGCCGACAAGCTTCCAGCCAGCCTCGAATGTTGTCATGTGGTCGCAGATGTCTAAGACGGTAGCGAATCTGCCACCTTCTAGATATGCCCCGCGCATTTCTTGTTGGTCATCCTCGATTTGCGCGACACGCTCCGCCGACTAATGAGCGTTCAGACGATCAACAAATTTCTGAATAATCAGACTAAAATCGCGACCTTTCAATTTCACGAGTTGGTGTGGGAGGTTTTGGGGAGCGTCCTCAATCCGCGCCGTGTTGTCCCCCTGGCGCATCGTCTTGATTTTCGAAAAGAAGTTAATCATCCCGACAATCAGCCGCCCAACATTCTGCTTGATCATCAAGACAGTTGCACCGTCCATATCTTCGAGAGCTTGCGCTACATAGGACCCTTGATCGCGTAGGAATCCATCAACCGCAGTATGCGTGATTAACCATTGCCCAGAGACTTCGCGCGCCAAGTCGACTTCATCAAGAAGCACTTCATGCTCAACTTTGCACTCGGCTGCTAGACCCGACAGCAGACGCACAATTTCCTCATCATGTTGTGACATCAAAAGATTTCTTGCCTGCATATTTCCAATTGCCTTGTTGACAGATTTGAAAATGGCACAAACGGCAGCGACAACTGGCCAGTATCATAGTGGAGGAGCCAGCTGGTAAGGCCGTCGTCCACAAAAAAACTCAATAAGTTCAAGGCGCTTTTTGATCTGCCAGAGGGTCCAGTCTCCCATGGCCATCCACCGTGTCGTCATTTTGGGACACTTTTCCCCCATCTGTTGAATGAGAATATCTTGTTTACTCAAGCATGAGACAATCTTATTGACCATCTTCATAAACTGGCCGTCAAATAGGTTGTTCAACTGCGCCTTGCAGACAAGATCAGCCTGATGGACGAGGCACCACGAGCGGTAGACATCATGGGTGGTTTCATTCACTAACAGCGTGACGACACCACCAATTCGCCATGTCATCACGTTGGCGCCATCCGACCCGATCCCGAGCAATATTGAGCGCCACCGCGTGCACAAGACGTCAATCATTTTGATAACCATGCCAGAAAGAACGATCGCCAAATGATGGTTGTGAATCGGCAGTGTTAGGATATGCAAGTTATACAAGACGCCACTGTGGTGCATATGTATACTCACATCGAAATACGAGTGCTCTAGATGAGTTGATGCATCCACTGCCAACGAAATCGCCCAGTTGCTTTCCAAAGCTAACAAATTGCGTAGCACTTGCAAATTGCAGGCGACAAGCACTCGAGCGCAATTTGATACGTCTGTATCCGACAAGCAACCGAGTCTTCTAATCCCGATACGCGCCTTGGTATGATGCATGACGGAAACGACTTGCCGAAATGACAAGCCGCTTGCCAAATGATCAGCAACGAGATCGAACTGCAGCTTGTTTTTGAGGACCACTTCGTAGACTGCTTTGCCTGGCGCGATCTCACCTGACGGCTTCTTGAACAAGGATAGGGCGCGCTGTTGCGTGATCCCTCCGTGATCCTTGCTGTTGAAGAACATGTCCGCGATTATGACGTCGACGATCGCAACTTCGACAAGGATAGTTGCTTTCTCCGCTGCATTACCGAAGTGGCTGAAGATGGTGTTCACGTACGGAACAACATTGTCAAAGAACTTTTTCTTGTTGACATCCGTCGCCGCTTTGTACTCGGCCCATTTGATGGGGTGTCCACTGCTGTGATGCTTCACGTACAGATCGACGCGGAAGTGCGGTACTGTCCATGTTTTCACCTTCTCGGTTTTTCACCTCTGACGTTGCTTTCCGTTGACTGCAATGTCGCCAACATCACCGCTCTCCATGCCAAATGTGATGCAAAGCAGGCTGGACACACCGATGACCGCCTTCGTCTGAGCATGGCGTTCGGTGATTTTCAGCGCGTACTGAAGAGCATGGCTGGGTAGAAATCCAATACAAGATCGTTTGTGCGTTGTCATCCTGAAACAATCAGCAAGAGGGAACGGTGGCAGCAAGAGGGAATGGTGCCAACAAGAGGGAACGGTGGAAGCAAAAGGAGCTGGTAAGGAGGTAAGCCCCTGTTTGTTGTTGTTGTGACCTCCCCTTCCTTCTTTCCCCACTGGGAACTACAAGTGGTAAATCGAATATTTGAAGCATATAGAAAAGGTCTTCTTTGTTTTCTAACTAGAAAAAAATTATCAATTAAGACAAAAATGTTGTAATGATTTTATAGAATTGCTATATATAAAAAATGATTATAAGATGAATATTTTTTCCCATGAAAAATATTGGAAAAAACAAATAATTTTTGTATTTTTTTATTAAAATTATTAAAAATTATTAAATTTTTTATTGTTAGGTAGAATCATCTGTGGCATGTAAACTTTATAAACGGGCATGTAAACTATATACTACTAATGATCAAGGTTTTTGAACTGATGAGCAATTGATTATTAAATTTTTGCATCATTTTTTTATGAATGGTGAAAATAGAAGTCATTAAAAAAATTCGAAAACAATCAAACATCATTTTTCTAATTCCAATCATATTTTTCTTTTTTCCAAAAAAGTCATAATTTCTGAGTGATTACTACATCATAATACGCCAAATATTGAAAAATTTATCCCTTTATGGATGCAACCTACCTTAACTATAATATTATCTGTACATGAGATGATAGTCAAGTATATCAATCTGCAAAAGTGGAAAGTATATCAGAGATAACTTAGGAGACGGACTACTACTACTTCTGTTATTCATGTTTGGTAAACTCGTTCCTTTACACTTTGTCTCTTTCTTCCTCAGCATAGGTGGAAAAAAATATCTCGCCAAACAGGGTCTCGACTCCTAGGATGCATAGAGTCTGGCGATACTAAAGTTTTGGTGTTGTCTTCTTGTGTCTGCCCATCATTGGATGCCATCGTGGAATGGATTCCCAAGCAAGTATGCAGACCTTCAAATGAGGTCATGTAGATCAGGACTAAGGATAAGAGATGTCGTGGTCTAGCACGAAAATGCTAAAAGTAAAACATAGAGATGGGAATCGACCAGGATGACCTAGCATTATCCTATCATCCAGCTCTGCCAGCCTACGCTGATGTTCCTATGGGGAGAACGATATGGACATGGGGGCCACTTCCATGTTCCGACTGACAGGGCAACCGGATGGATTTCATCCTACGTGGAGACCTAACGTCAATGTGCAGGATGTTTAGAGAGAGAGTACAATTGGATCGATAACCCTGACAAGCAAGACTAACCGGAGCTAACAAACTTTGGAAAGAAGCTGTTCTGTCAGGACTAGGATGAGAAAGAGTATAAGTTTGGAGAATTTTCTTATATATTACAGGAATAAATCTTGCAAATGTTCTTTTCATGATATGGATTAATTGGTAAAAAATTGTGACGAATCGTTAAAAGAGAAAATTAATATATCTATTTTCAGTTTTTCAGTTTCTCAGATTTTGAGTAATTTTATCCAATTTCACACATCGGGTGAATTAATCTGATTCTATAACTTCCTTTTCATGCTTGGATAAATTGGGAGATACTTTGGAAAATTATTGGGATCAAAGTAAAACATTACAACTTTTTCTAGATTTTATAATTTTGACAGAAATAAGTCTCATTTGTGAGGTGAGAAACCAAGAAAATTAGAGTTTGCAAGTGAGAAGAAATGATGATGTAAAGTAGGTGGTTTGTGAGCATCTCTTTAAGCTAGCCATATCTTCATTTAGCACTAAATATTCAGCTATAGATACCATAAGTTTGCTAGTTGGAGTTATAGTTTCATTCTAGTCTATGCAAACTATAAAGGAATTGTCTAGAGCAATGTGTGATATATCATACATGATGTGTAATTTTTTTTCTTTCAAAAGAAAAAAATATATGTGCAATGATGACTAAATTTGTGATTCAAATATAAATAACATGAAACCAATCTACTACTGCATTGATCTCCTAGTCTACAATTATGAAATGTGAGTTTGAGTAATATCTAATCATGTTCAATTTGAAGGTTCTTATCTCAATGCATACATCTTTGCTAATTTAATGATTCAGTTTCATCCTGTAGGTGAAATAATCATTTCACAATTGTATAAATTCCAATTTATATAAATAATTTTTTTTACAGACGCAACTTAATATTAAAATATATTATATCCGTTGATAACTTACACGTTTTGATCTGATATTTTGATTCTAATTAACTTATATCATAAAAACTGGATAACATGAAGCTTGTTATACTACAATTTGCAATGTTTATAGATCCATTTGTCTTTTTAAACACTTTCTCCTCTATGTATAAGATGATTATGCTTGATAGTAATATATTTTTTGATTATCTAAAAAACTATGAATTTTTTAATGTAAGAAAAGTACTTAATATCCAAAAATTTATTTACAAATAAATATTTTAAAAATTTCTCCTAGTATGGCATTTTTAAAATTCAAACTTTGTGAAATTTTAATTTTATTTTTGATATGAAAATTTTATTCATTATAATTTTATTGACAATACATTTTGAACATAATTCTGAATAAATCAAAAATATTTTAAATAGATTTTGAGTTACAATGTCATTGATGTTATGATAGTTGTTTTGAGTTTAACTATTCAATATAATCAGAATGTTAAATTTATTTTTTTAGGATCCTTAAGTATACGTGTAAAGCTATAGGCTTTGAAAATTTTCATGAACAAAAGACTGAAATGATATTAGAGGATGAATAGAATGATATGTAGAGGATAGGTGTAAACACAATCTTAAGCGTCATGTCATGGAGCACTTAAATGAGTTTTTACTCTCCATGATGAACTTCAATTGAAATATCATATTTTATGATAGTTTCATTTAATTTCATTAAAGAGAATATCACATATACAAATATTTGAATCTGATAAGGTTCAATACGGAAAACAATGAGACATAGTTAAAAGATCACATTGATGTATTTTTTCAAATGATCTTGTTGTAAATTTGTAAAGATTGTGACGGTAAAATTTGAGAAATACACGAACATAGAAATAGCGTGGTTCATACTCGGTGAAGAGGGTTACGTCCACCAAGAACTCGAGCATCTTCACTTCATGTAATTTCCAGAAAGACGTTCTGTACAAGGTAAATCTTCAAGTATTTATCTCCAGTCCAAACGACCGTCCTAGCTATAAATAGCTAGGACCTAAGATTACTCCTTAATTGGAGTTAACCTCAACAATCTCACCCTTAACTCACGTTTAGGAATAGTAACCTCTATAACATACATTATTACTCCGGAGGAAGTTCTAGACATAAACCTAACATAAGGCCTCCTCTTTACACAAGAGTTAACTAGAACTAAGCCGTAGCCATAACAGGATAGAGTAATAATATAAAGAGATAACTAAAAACCAGCTAGCATAGAAAAAACAGAAATCTCGTAACCTACATAATTTACTCCGCGGAAAGTTCTAGAAAGAATACTTTAACAAAGTCACCCTTTGCACAAGAGTTAACTAGAATTAAATCGTAGCTTTCACAGGATAGAGTAAATATATAAAGAGATAACTGAAAATACTATGCTAGCAAACTTTACCTGCGCTTTCCATGCACAACCTGCATGATAGCATATTGTCGTTTAAAATTCTCTAGACAAATAACTTTGACCAACGCATCAACTGGATTAAATTTACCGTCTATCTTGACTAGCTCAATCACCAGAGTTTACCGTCAAGATTGACTAGTTCAATCATCAGAGTTTATCATCAAGATGGACTAGCTCAATTACCATAGTCTATCGTCAATCTTGACTAGCTCAATCATTAGAGTTTACCGTCAAAATAGACTAGCTCAATCACAAGAGTCTACCATCCATCTTGACTAACTCAATCATTTTACCACACACTCTTGTTTGATAAAATACCTGATATCGTTGTGCTTCACGGTACTCTAGTTAGCTTGTACCGTGCACATCTTGATCATTAATCTCATAATGATCAAACTCCCCCATAACTACATACCGGTGCTCATCTCGATAATCAATCACATAATGATCAAAACTCTCCCACAATTACATACTAAAATTTTTACTTGTCAGTACAAAGATCATGATAAATCTCCCCCTCTTTCAAGGAACAAGGCTCATTGAAAGACACACATCTAGTTTCAAGAATCTTACAATCTACGATGCTCATGACTGATTGTCGCTAGTGACTATCACTCACCGTTACCCTTGACTAACTAAAAATGCTACCTATAACTTACCATCCGTAACCCGCAACAGGACCGTCCATCAGCCGCAACTTCCGTAGTCCGCGACTGCAATATCCGTCACCCGCGACTCATGTCGCCCGTGACTAGCGTCGCCCGCGACTACCTGTTCCTCGCGACCTATGTCGCCCGCAACTTAAACTTTTCTCCCTCGACCTTTGCCCACAAATCATTGTCGCCCACAACAAACATTGCCCACGACTGTTGTCCACAACTTACCGTCGTTCACAACTTACCGTTACTTACTTCGCAACCGCTATCGTCCGCAATCACGTTGAGAAGGAAAGATAATGACAGTTTCTGAGTCAATTTTCTCCTTCCGATTCATCTTTCAACTCTTGAAAAATGTCCAGATGCACTATTTGTGTCAAGAGCTTTCCAACGATACCCAATTTGCCTATACTCTGATGAGGAATATTTTTGACAAAATATTCTATCACCGTCATCGTTGGTCAATCTTCAACTGTCACATTGGCGACCGTTCGTCACCGTCACCGTCACTCGTTGACTGTGTTGCCCTGTCAACGACGTTCGACCTCAATCACGTTTGACCTTGACCACGATGACTATATACCACGTTCGACCACAAGTGTGATACCCAAACCGCGTCCAATACTGTAACCAAGTTCACCGCGACCACAACTTCAACCACATTAACTCTGACCACATGCGCCTTTGACCTCGTTGGCAGCGATCACGTTCCATCATCAACCATAGTTCATCT